GGGATTTCATGAAAGAATATGAAGATCTAGGGCACATGACAAGGATCGAAGATCACTTGATAAATGAAACACCTAAGGTCGTGTATTTCTTACCTCATCATGGAGTCTTACGCGAATCCCCACAAACGACAAAACTTCGTGTTGTTTTCGATGGTTCAGCTGAAACAGATACAGGTATTTCTTTAAATCACAAATTAATGGTTAGTCCAAAAATCCAGGATGACTTGTTCGACATTCTAATCAGATTTCGTAAGTACAATTGCGTTATCGCAGCGGACGTCGCAAAAATGTACCGCCAAGTACTGATAAAAGAAGAACACATGGACCTGCAGAGAATTCTTTGGAGACCATCAATTAATGAGCCAATCGATCATTGCCATCTAAATACTGTCACATATGGGACATCCTTTCTAGCAATACGATATTTACAACAAGTAGGTCTTGACAATAAGGACAAATTTCCTGCAGCGCGTAGGGTCATTTTAAAAGATTTTTACGTTGACGATCTACTATGCACAATCATGGGAGGTTGCTAGACAACTTCGGCAAGAGTTATCAGAAATTCTCAATGAAGCAGGATTTCCATTAAGAAAATGGTTGTCTAATGACCATCGAGTGTTAGAAGATAAAGCCAACACGGAGCATCAAATTGAACACTTCCTTTCGGATGACAAAGTTACAAAGACATTGGGACTTCTTTGGAATTCAGACACGGACATGTTGCAATATAAAGTGAATTTACGCAACTCACAATGCAGAACAACACAGCGGTCAATTCTATCAAATGTATATTCTATCCATTGTGTCACAAATATTTGATCCACTAGGATTAGTTGGTCCGGCAGTAATAAAGGCAAAGATCTTGCTACAAAAATTATGGCAATTAAAGTTTAGTTGGGATGAGGCTGTGCCTCTAGAAATACACACAACTTGGATTCAATTTTTAGAACAAATTAATTTCATTAATATGAAGATTAAAATACCAAGACAAGTAATTTGCAAACAACCAATCGATATTCAATTACATGGGTTTAGCGATGCATCTATGTCAGCATATGGGGCTTGCATTTTTATCAGATCGACGGATTCAGACAATAAACACGAAGTTCAGCTACTATGTGCAAAATCGCTCGTTCCACCACTGAAGACGATATCTCTTCCCAGGCTCGAATTGTGCGGTGCATATCTGTTAGCAAAATTAACTAAAAATGTTTTACATGCAATTGGATTAGAAGTGAACAAAGTGTACTTATGGTGCGACTCTACTATAGTACTAGCATGGATCGCTGGAGAACCCAACCAATGGAAAACATTCGTAGCAAACCGAACATCAGAAATTCAGCAGATCACTGAAGGGTTTGAATGGAGGCATGTTATGTCAGATGACAATCCTGCGGATATCCTCTCCAGAGGGATGGATCCAAGTCAACTAGCGGAATGTGAGTTATGGTGGAATTGCCCATCATGGCTTCAACTGGACGAACACTATTGGTCCAAATCAGCAGACGTCAAACATTTTAACATTCCGGAACAAAAGAAATTTGCGGTCGTTTCTATTAACCATATTGATATTAACATATTTCATAAACTTTCGAGTTTAATAAAACTTCAACGTGTTCTCGCTTACTGTTTACGTTTTAAAAGTAATACAACTAGTCATAGAAATAGTAAACTACTAGGCGTTCTAACTGTAGACGAACTCAATGATTCACTAAACTTATTAATTAAATTAGCTCATCTTCAAGAGTTTTCATCGGTCATCAATTCTCTTAAGCAATCAAAACGACTTTCAACTTTTAGTAAATTATTATCGTTGAATCATTTCTTGGACGATTTAGGTATCATGCGCGTAGGCGGGCGGTTACAAAACTCTGATGTTACATATAACCAAAAACATCAAATATTACTTCCAAAAGGTCACAAATTAATGAAATTAATCATTTTACATAAACATTACAAAAGCTTACATTCAGGTCCCCAAGCCTTATTAGCAAATATTAGGTTAAAATATTGGATACTATCGGGTCGAAGCACGATCAGAAAAATTCTTCAAAAATGTATAGTATGTTTTAGAAACAAACCAAGGAACTACGATTATGTCATGGGTGAGTTACGAAGAGATCGGGTAATTTCATCTCGTCCCTTCACTAACTGTGGGGTTGATTATACAGGGCCGTTTGAAACAAGGTCAACCAGACTTCGGAACCGTAAATTAATAAATTCTTATTTATGTATTTTTATTTGTTTTGCCACAAAGGCAGTTCATTTAGAACTTGTAAATGATTTAACGACTGACTCATTTTTAAATTGCTTTAAACGATTTACCACCAGACGAGGACTATGCAAAAATATGTATTCAGATAACGGCACGAATTTTGTTGGGGCTGCTAATTCTCTCAAGGAACTTTTTGAATTTATCAATAATCCTGCAAATCATGTGCGTTTTTCTAAATATTTATCAAAATTATCAATATCATGGCATTTCAATTCACCTCGTTCTACGCATTTCGGTTCATAAATAAATCATGGGCAATTTATTTATATTATTTATTACATTTAATTACTTAAATGTAATTAAAGTTTAAGGGAGAGAAAAGAACTTACACTAAAATTGAATTTATAGTAAATGTTTTTCATTAATGATATTTTTGGATTTAATTCCTCAAATAGCACCTCAAAGTTGATTAATTTATAACAAAAGTCGGGACGCGTAGTAATTTATTTATTAGTTCTCGGAACGGATGGGCCAAAAAGTAAAAAATAAAAAAACACTAATTATCGAAAGTTGAGGGCTCTCAAGTGGGTGTAGCGTCGTCCTTCGGAGAAATTTAGCAATATATTTTTTTACAAGTTCACTTAAACTGTCGGGGCCATGTGTTGAGCATCTAGTATAAAGAGAAAAATCGATATTTCAAATAACGCGCGAAATGCATTCCAGAGAACGTAGGAATTCCAAGAATAAGTTGTTAGAATGTTGTCAGGAAAATAATAATAGCTGGTTTTTTGGCGGATTTTCCAAGCTAATATGTAATAAGGATATATTAAATGAGATGGCTAATCCATCCCGTATTGATATGCGGAGTCACAAGAGGAAGGTATAGGGTTGTTTGTAAACATAGTCACAGAATCATTTATATATATGTAAGTCCAGTCAATTAGGTAATTATTAACATGGCATAGTTAAAATCCCCAAAACCCTGTCCATAACACTGAATGTCGGGCCAAAGCGTCCCAACATTCAGGGTTCCCGCCAATAAGATAAGAACAAAAGCTTCTGGACCCAAAAAATGGACGTGTCGAAGCGAAGTGTCGAATTCGGGAAAGATCTACGAGAAAAATTCAGTTCTTTCTTGGGTTTCACATCGAGCAGTCTACTTAGTTTTAGAGTCTCGGGTTAATTTAATAATGGATAAAGTCACTTCAAATTTTGCTATGAATCTCGCATTTCCTGAATATCGGTACGCTGTCGCGTGTCAATAAATTAATTAATGATGTTGTTCGAGCCGTTGTGTTGTTGTTTTGTTTGTTTGTTTTGTTTATTGTTATTCAAAACCCCTCCCCAGAAGTTTTGGTGTTTTCTTTTGTTTCTCTCAACGTTAGTGTCACCCTGTACAGCCAGTCACTGGATTACATTCTACGTAAGCAATGGATGGTAAGTGCTTGAAATTCATTCTCCGGACATACAACATTTCTAAGTTCTCACTTATTAATTAAAAGGTAATGATAATTATAAACTCCCTTTCGAGAATTAAATAGCAAACTCTTTTGAAATCCAGACTCGTTACGATACTAGTCACAACGAAAAGAAATAACCCCTTAGGTTACAAATTTTATATACATTTTTTTTAATATTCTTTTTTATTTTTAATATTATTAATTTTTATTCATTTAACAACTACTCTACGAGCTACAGGTTCCATCTAGCACATGCAATATCCAGTAAACAGTTCAGATTCGTCGTTAACAGAATCGCCAGGCATGGACTAATTTCGAACGTATTAGTTCTTATCAGTTCTTATCATGGCTGAGATGACCAACATGTTTTAAGTGTGGCTGAAAAATAACCTGTACATTATATGCCTGATAACGTGCAATAAAATCGTGCATTAAATTTATTACAATTTTTTACAATGGAGAGTACGTAAAATTTAGTTTAAATTGAATTTATTAATTCCAGAGCATGGACAGAGACAAAATTGCAGATATAGATAACAATTTTATAAGAAACAGAGTATATTTCTATCATGAGGCGCTTAATCAACGAGTTGTTTGTGTGTAGCTCTCAAATAAGACTAAACAATTAGATAAGTACCTAATTAAATAATTGTATGGCACAGACAATACGTCGACAGTATTTATTATGACGCGTTCCTACTTATATTATATTATTATTTATTTATTTAATAATACCAGTTACATAAAACTATACAAGAAAGATAAGAGTTAAAATTTCTGGATTAATTAATTTATATACAGGATCTAAATATTTCTCAAAAATGTTCCGTTTTCATAAATATTTCGTAATAGCTATGTATAGTTTCATATTTAAAAATACAATATTGAACAACAACAAACCACTTTTACTTTTAACTGGCTGTTTATTATTATTTTTTTATTTTTATGTTTATCTTATTTTATTGAATTTTATTTTAACATAATAAGCTGGGATCGGTATACATGGTGTACTCCTAAGTTGGTTTACTTCTTACATTTACATAGATCACAAATGGTAGCAATTAATGGGCATTTTTCTAAATTGGTTCACATTACATCTGGTGTTCCTCAGTGTCCCATCTTGGGCCCCTGTTATTCCTTGTTTTCATTAACGACATAGGTGGATATATTAAAATTTCAAAGTTTCTTCTTTACGTTGATGATCTAAAAAATTTTCACATGGTTTCTTTTTCGAAAGATTGTGAGTGTGATATATACAGGAAGGTATTTTGTACAATATTGCTATAAATTTAAACTTTCATTAAATATTAGCACTAAAAACTTACGTCTTTAATTAATTATTATATTAACACTCAGATGATTGATCGCGTTTCATAAATTAAGGATTAGGTGTTATCTTTGACTGTAGGTTGTGCTTTGGACATCATGTGGGTATATAGCAGTCAAGTGTCTAAGAATGTAAGGATTTATAATTAGGACATGCAGAGAATTTAGAAATAAAACGTGTCTTAAATCATTGTACTACGCCTATATATACAGTAGACTTAACTTTGCTTGTGTTATCTGGAATCCTAATTATAATGCCTATAAAATAAGGTTAGAAAGAACTCAGGATAGGTTTGTTCGATATCTTAATTTTAGGGTCAATGTTCACGATATAGAAGTAATAAAGCAGCAATATAACATCATGATATTTGAACATAGGAGGATCCATACTGATTTGTTAATATTAACCAATTATTGAATAATCTAATAGACTGCCCCCCATCTAATTTCTTTAATAAATTTTCATGTTCCTTCTAGGTTTACCAGAGGTGTGAACATGTTTAGTTTAGCGACCCAGCATACCAATCTGGGTTTAAATAGTCCATTATAGATAATTACCTCTCAGTACAACAATTACCTTACCAATTCTCGATTGGATATTTTTAATGTTACTTTAAGTAATTTTAAAAAAGTATTAAGAATATAAATTTGTTTTAATATAAGTATAATTTGTTCACCATCTTTAAGTTCTTTAAGTTATTCTACAATTAAGTTAGTGTTAATTCTCACTCTCAATGTTTAGTTTATTTATTTTTTTAGTGTATTAGTGGATGCAGTTTTGGGCTTTTAGACTGTAGCCCAAGTTTGGAAATAAAAAAAATAAATAAATAACCATTTTCACACTGTTGTTATTTTAATTGATACAAAGCAATTTATTAAATTTTATTAATTCTCAGCTGTTATGTCATAGACTTTTTCTTCGAAAAGTTTTTATTTTACCATCTATGTATTTATCGCCATCAAATAAATAACTTTCTAATCTTCAAAAATCCAAATACTTTGTATACCAAATTAGAAGGAAGAAGACGATCTACTTTTAAAATTGTTTTTAACACAATTTTTTGAGTTACATTTATGTAAATTTAGAAAAAAGTGTTTTCATAAGTACCACCCCATATTAAATTTTAAAACTGATTTTACCAAAGATTAATAAATATATGTAAATATATGTAAATGCAGTAAATATTTTTTGTTAAATGATGAGTTTTATCAATACTAAGACTTAGCCCACAAATACAATAACAGCAGTGTTGTCTACATAAAATATTATGTTGCCATTTATTTAAGGTTTGGCCCTGTAGTTCATCGCACTTGAACCTGATAGTTTAATTCCTTTTGGGAGGAAACTTTAGCATATATAACGCTGACTGACTATGTAGGTACAGGATATAAGAAGTAGTAATTTGGTCGAAAATGGCTTTTCCTTGCACATTTTTCTCCTCTCTAATGAAACTTTAAGGATATGTATCTATTCAAAACTCGAAAAGTATTAGAATATCTTCTTTTTCTCAATAAATACATTGTTACATGCCCTTCCCATTCCCATGGTGACATTTAAAATTATTTGGGACAGAAACTAATTTTGTAGGGACTACTATATTGTACCAATTGCACAAAATTATCTCTTCTATCTTTTCTGGTTCCTGTTATTTGTGTAGTTGCCATATTAAAAAATTCTTTTATAAAAAGATAGATTATCAGATCCTCGTTGACTTTGGGGTATTTTACTATCTGACTAGTCATTTGACGGCTGGTTGTTTTACAAAACGACTAATACCCCGATAGGTTGACAACTTTTCACCTGTTTAATATTCTACCTAAAGCATTACTGTCATTTTATAAAACGCTTAAATTCATTTAGTCGTGTTGTAAAATGAATTGATAGTTTGCTGAACAGATTTGCATTAACTTTTGAATGAATGTTAATAACATTAACATACTTTTTTTTATAGGTATTATATTATAGGACATTTTTACTAAATACACAATACACAGTGTGTCCCACGACTATACTTATGAAGAAAACTTATTTATTTGTAAATTGAGAATATAAATTTGCAACTAAAAATGTCGTTCTTTGTAAAAGTTCCTGTTTGTCCCCAAATTGTTAAAAATGTTACTATTTCTTTGATTCAATCTGTTAATAACTTTAAAGGTAAGCCCAAGCAGAGTACTTGAATTTTTCGCTGTTACTAAGAGACATTGTTAAGAAATAAAAAGAAGTCGTAAGTGTGATTTGCAAAGAAAAATAGTAATTACCTGGAATCTCCCAGCCGTTTTACAAACTGACTAGCCGTAAAACAACGCAGTCAATGAAGTTTTTAAAATTTGGCGGCCTTATAAAACTCTTAGGTATTTTGTAGAATGACTAATTTTACAATCTCGTTATGTCAGAAAATTAAATCAATCAACTGATGTAAAAAAACTATTGTAATTAGATAAAAACCAATTATAATCGATGTAGTCATGTACAAAAGTTTTTGATGTTTTTTTTTGTTAATATTAAATTTGTGTACGAGAAGGAAAGCTGCAAAAGAAACAATTCTAAGTAAAATATGGAAACCGAAAGATTTCTTTATAGCAGTTGTTCTTTTACGTGATTATTCTTTGTCAAGGGTGATAGCAGGGCAGCAGGAATCACAGGATATTTCTTTGAATGATTGCATTGTTTAACAATTTCAGTATATTTGGTATATGTTTATTGTATTAATTAGGTTTGGACAAATTATTTTCAATTTTTATGTTGGATAATTTTATTTATTACTAGCTGTTTACTAGGTATTAGTGTAGTGTAATACTAGTTTTATTAAAAATTTATATTTTTGTATTTGTTTGAATTGAAAATATGAGATCTAATAATAAAATATATGTTTTTTGCAATAATATTGTTATCATAGCTGTCTTAAATTAGGATTTTTGTTAAATTTTGTAAGAACAGTTCGAATATACCTACAAAATAACACCATGTGAAAATAGAATAATTCAAAATTTAAGAAAATACACTTACTTGTTTCATTGTAAAAGCGATTGTCGTATTAGAACTAAAATACGAGCCTGGATTAATCTCTATGTAATATCCATCCAAATTTAAATAACGAATAAATTAATTTAAATTGGTACAAGGTCTATAAATCTTTGAAAGGCTTTCATAATTTTACATAGTTACTATTAGCTATATCTTCAATTAACTTTTAATCAAAGAAATTTGATTGTTAGGACTTTATTGTAATTTTGATTGATTTTATTTATATTTATCAATTTTCTCAAATACATTATCATACATTAAATATAGATTAAAATCGACCTACAGAATTTGATTATAATGGTTGATTGTGAAATCTGATATGATTAGTTCGTAGTAGAAATATTCATGTTTCGCTTCATAAATGTTAATAATTGGAAAAATTAAATACAAATACGCAAAAAATCCAAATGTTGAAATTATTACTTTCTGTGGGCATAGATTTTTAATGGGCGCGGCAAAAAAGTATATAAACTGAAAAAACTCAAAATAAGACGTTCAGTTTTCTACCATAATCAATAACAACCGCTTCCAACATGAAAACGGTAAGTGACGATTTTTAATTTAATTTATTATATGCTGTATTGTACCATTTTTAAATTCTATCGAATTTGTGTTAATATTAGTTGGAGTATTTCTGCAAATTTTCTAATACTTATTGTCATTAATATTCAAAATTTTGCTAATATGGCACCATCCGACTTCAGTCTTAAACTATTATTTAGGCATTATCCAATTAAGGTAATTTAATTAATTTTGAAATAACTCAAAAAAAGATTGCCAACTTGTTGTGACTATTAATTAACTTCAGGGATTCTGATTATAAATTGGATGATTTCAACTTATATATAGATTCACAAGTTTCAATGAAATTGGAAGAATAAAAAACATTTGCCCTTAAATAATTTATATGCATATTCCTAAAATGAAATATTACTGTCATTATATTGTATTTTTGTAACGGAAATAATTAAATCCATTTGGTAAAGGATTTGCCATCAAAAATGAGCATCGCGAACCTCGATGATTATTTTTAATTATTTAAAAAATTTCCTATTAAAAAGCGTGGATGCTTTAAGGGCATACGTAACTGTAGACTGTAGATGTAAGACTTTTTTAAATTAAGCAGCCTATATTTTTTACATTGTAACAACTGACCCTGTGACGATTTCTGAATTTTACTCCTCATACGTTTGTAAACTGTAAAGAAATTAGAAATAAAACATTGATTCTTAGATCATAACTTAAAATGTTTCCGTTAGTTTAAAGATATATTACGAAATACATATTATTTAAAAACGTTTCCTATTAAACATTGTACCTATAATCCTTTAATGGCACATGTAACTTCTACATTTATTATAAATATATTTTTTATAAATTGGAACAACTAGCTCTGCTACGAATTCAACTTTTACTATTCATATTTACATATTTGTAAATAGCAATGAAGCTGGTAAAATAAAAGAATCATTCTTAGATAATAAATTAAAATATAATCGTTAACTTTCAGTGATTACATTATGAAATAATTGACATGACTATCATATTACAATGGAGACAATGATGAAAACTATTTAGTAAGTTGTTTAATAATTGAAAGGTCTTTAAAATCGGATTTTCCAGGGTGTACTTTTAAGCCAAGGGCACCATTGCATCCGGGCGAGGAATTAAACCTACTAGACTTCAATTCTATATAGATGCTCTTTCAAACAGTATCCAAAGAATTTGGAAAAAAATCAGTAATTGTAAGACCACAAAAATGGAATTCCATGTTGAAAATACCGCAATTTTTTCACATTTTCAATATTTATACCGTGTTTTGAAGTACTCATCGCTAAGGTACGTGCTTAAGAACAATATTAACTGTGTTTGGGAAAGAGATTTAGATCGATTTGGTCACTTGATGAACCACACTGGAGGCTGAACTGAAAAATGGTCGAATAAGACATTTACAACAGTTTTACTAGAAAATGCGGTTGTTATGAGTCATTTTTCTTTTTTCAACTTGGCAAATTTTTACCAAATACAAAAAAAAAACGAGGAAAAGTTTCTGACCCTCCCTATTTTCGTTTTACTCCTTTGCCCGAAATTAGTCAGTTCTTGTTTTTCTTGGGTTCTCAAGTAGCTATGGCGGTGAACGTTTGTGCGAACACCGACAGCGGTATAATTATTTGTCAACGTTGTAAAGCAAAAGTAGTGTCTTATGTAAAATGTGAAATATGTGGCAGCACCTATTGTGCTAAGCAATTGAAATATCAATTTATTGACAAGATGTTGATCAAATGCTGCAGGGAAGATATATTTAGAACTGACGATGATATTAGTGACAATGCATTTTTCGAAGCAATTGATAATATTGCCTTGGATAATAAGGTAGATGTTAATATCTTCAAGTATATCATTAAGCAGAAAGACTTATTAATTAACGGATTAAATTTCGAAATTAAATGATTGGAAGATAGGTTTCACCGAATGGAAAGTGATAACACACAACAAAAAACCCACTTGTGAGTAGCCGCAAAAAAGCGGTTGATAATTCGATTGCTAGCCTGTCTCAGGCGCCGATATCGAAACCGCGCAAGAAACATATGACTAGTTCAGAGAACGCTGATTCTATACAGGATGATACTGGGAAATGTAAACAGCGGGTAATTATGTCAGATGAGGTAGCAAAGTCCTTTTCGGAGGCAGGTCGGCCTAGTAAGCTGGTAAACTTGGATAAATATATACATTTGGCTGATGGGTTGCCAACGAGTGATATAAGTAATTCACAGGCAGTGGATTATGTTGGCAATATGCTGATAATAACTGGAAAACTGTTAGACACAAAAAATCAAGCGGAAAATCGCTTGGTTAAAAAAAATTAGTGGTTGGTAATTTCTCAGGCCAGACAACGGTTGTAGGAGTTGAGAAAAAAATTGCATTACACGTGAGCAATCTAAAGTCGGATACCTCAGCTGAGGAACTAACTAGTTTTTTGAATAGAAATTTTCCTGAAGTGGTGTGTGTACCACTTAAGTCTCGATTTCCAGAAAGTTATGCGTCCTTTAAGGTAGTAATATCTAAAGACAACTTCGAAATGCACTGATTTCAAGCAATTGGCCTAATAGAGCTTCTGTAAGACGTTTTTTACACAGTCGGTTAAAGCAACAAGTAAATATTTAGCACCGCAGGAGTCATCTCCTGCACCGTTTGTTGTGGACAGGAAAACAGGAGTAGTAGATTTGTAACTACTACAAATAAATGTGCAATGTCTCTAATAAACTTAACAAGTTAGAAGTTCTGTTTCAAGAGGAGAACGCCGACGTAGTTAGCATGGCAGAGCATTGGTGTGGAATTGACAAAATCACAACGATGGTCATACCTGGGTACCAGCAAATGGCGTTTTTCTGCCGTCAAAATCGGGAACATGGTGGTACAGTGATTTATGCTAAGTGTGGTTATGAAGTGGAAATTCTGGACGTGGATAGATTTTCATCTTAAATGAATTTCGAGTGTAGTGGGATCAAGGGTACAAAAATCTGTCTATTAAGTTTGTATAGGCCACCGAAAGGAAACTTTGAGGTATTTTCTGCAAATGTTTGTTCCTTTATTAACTATACTATAAGAATACATCCAGTTCTATTTGTGTGTGGAGATATTAATTATTTGGATAATAATTGTTTAGAGAAACGTTTGCTTGACGATGTTATAACTAGTTTTGATTTAAACATTACATCTCCTGCACCTACTGGAGTGTTCAGAAATAAATTAGGCACCACAACCTCTACTAAGGTGGACTACATTTTAACAAATCTCAGTTCTAGTCAATGCACACCTAATGTTTATGAAGCAAATTTGAGTGACCACAGAGTATTTTCACTCCATTGCTGCTGGAGTAATATTAATAACAATAACGTGGACGTTAGTGGTACGTCATTATACACAAACCAATTTAGAAACGTATCTGGGGAAAGGTTAGATAGTCTAGTTCTTGCTTTGAGTACAAGAAAATTTGAACCTGTACGTGATAGTTGTGATATCAATGTGTGTTTTGCATCTTTTATGAAACTATTGATGTGGGAGATAGATATTGCTTGTTCCTGTATAAAGATTTGTCTTAGTAAGATTAAATCTAAAACATGGGTAACTGAAGATATTAGATTAGCTAGTCAAAAGTTAAAAAATGTTTATTGGATCTGTACTGCGTTGAATACTGTAGAATCAGTTGATTTTTATAGGAAAGCGAAACGAGATTACAATGAGCTACTTGTAAGAACTAAACAAGAGTATGTTAAGGGCCTTATTGATAAGTCTGCTAATAAATCTAAAATTATATGTAATTTAATTAATAGTGAGACCGGTAGAAAGTCGGTTGTTGGGGATATATCTTTGATTCTGGAAGGAGGAACTCATTCTGAGCCCAAAGACGTGGCTAACATTTTTTGTGATTACTTTGTGAATGTAACTGAGAGATTATTGAATAATCATTTTGGTAATGTCAGACCAGTGAAGTGCTCTACTAGTGACATGATTAATAAAACCTTTTTCTTTACACCTGTGATCAGGGAGGATGTGTTACAGGTAATTAATGATCTAAAAAATACAAAAGTAGTGGAATTGATAATATCTCAGTAAAAATTGTTAACTGAGATTGGTGAACACATTTCTGAACATTTATCACATTTGATTAATTTATCAATTAGAAAGGGCAATTTTCCTAGTATTTTGAAGACGGCTTCAGTCATTCCGGTACATAAGAAAAACGATCTTCAGAATATAGCTAACTATCGACCTATATCAATCTTATGTGTTTTCTCAAAAATGTTTGAAAAAGTTGTGTATAGTAAAATGTACAATTTTTTAAGAAAGTTTAATATTCTAACGAAGCACAACACGGTTTCCGTAAAGGCAGATGGACACAATCAGCAGCAGCTTTTGCCTTACTAGGGCACGTTTATCAGTGTGTTGATAGTGGTAGACATGTGATTGGGTTCTTTTTTTTACTTAACACTCGCATTTGACTGCCTAAACTTTGGTTTTATTGAAAATAAATTGTTTAGTTTGGGTTTTAAAGGTATATTCCTGAAATG